TCCCATTGGCATTTGATAAAGCCCCTTAGATTTGTTTAAAGCCAGCCAGGTTTTCTCAGAATATCTGTTCCTAGATGTCCAGATTCCATTTAATGAACTGCTTCACAGCGGTTTCCATCAGCCGCGTAGAGCCGCTGAGATTTGGTCTTAATAAAATGTGTTTACCGGGGATGTTGGTGAGCATCCTGCTGGCTGTGACTGTCCAGTTTATTCCCGAGCACAAATGATCTGGTCACTTCAGAGAATCCGAACAACAGAGCTCCAAACATTACAGTGTTTTCTTTCTCCTTTGTTGTTCATTTTTCAAATAAATAAATGTTCTTCATTAACCCCAATGCAAACGTTCACCACAACTCTCACATGCATATTCATTTTCTGCAGCTTTACGGTCTTTACAACCTCCTTGAACTATGTGATGTGGTCACACATCACATATTTCCATCTACAAGTTGCTTTTGTGCGAGTTGTGATACTCCCAACGCAACAGAACATGAATACATGCAAATGTGTGAGTCTCATTATGCGTCTGACTTGTCTTTGGTTCAATCTGTCAGTTTTAACGGGCCATTGGCAATTGAATTACACGACGTCTGATGTTGATTGACACTTTTAATATTTGAATTGTGTTAACTGCGGCTCTGACAGCTGTCGGACCTGCCCGGTCCGTCAATCGCTGATCCCACTCATCTTGCCCCGTTGACATGGCGAAGACAATATCGCCGTCTTATTGTCTCGTAGTGGTTCCTACTGGACGTGGAGTGACGGACTTCTGGTTCTAGTAGATGGAGCTAAATAATAATAAAAACATTAACATCAGATTGGTTTTACAGAATCCAGAATGCATTAGTGCTACAGGCAGTCCGCATGGAGGTGAACCATTGTGCTCGGTGCATATGGTGGGAGGTCCAAGCTAAAATTGTTGTACTTTATTCATACAGTACTGCTTCTTTTAATCTCTTGTGTGGTTGTGTGTGCAGTAGGGGTGTAACAATTCATCCACTGAAACGATTAATCGATTTATATTCCTGCGATCCAACTGAATCAATCTGTGCTCCGTAAATCAACATTCCGGACAACATATATCGATTACAAATCGATTGAAATGGTACATAATTGATTTGTATCGATACTTGGAAACTGCATATTGGATTTAAGCAAAAAAACGGTATGGATGTGTGTTTGTTTTTAGCACTTTAGACACGTTAAACGTTACTCGATTCAGTCTGCCTGTCTGTGACGTCATCAGTACGCAGCGGCAGCCGAGCGAAACTCGGAACAACAACAAAACACAGCGTGGAGGAGACGACTGCCAGCGAGACATTTACAAACCAACTTATCAATCCAGCGTGTGGAAACATTTCGGATCCCTACAATATAAACCTTTTGTCATTGTTCATTTGAATCTACTTCTGGGATGCAAATACTGACATGTTGTGCATATTTCCCCCCGGTGTCATGCTCATTCTCTTCCTTTCAGTTGCCAGGTAGCAGCAGGTCGAGATTTAAGAACTAGATTGAGGGAAAATAGATGTGCTGCTTCACAGTAATTGTTTTTTTTGGCTCCACAAGCTGCATAAAGACTTGCTGTGTCACCTTTGGCTTTTTATAAAAATGTGTTTTTAACCCAAAATGGATTTCCTGTGAGTGTGCAAGAATTGCTGTGTTTCTGTTGAACAAACGACCAGCTTGGTGGAGTGGAGACAGACATTTTAGTCATTTGTCACAAGGAAGAATAATATCCCACTCTTTAACAGAGACAAAAAATCAGTCTTTGCTGTATTGAGTTTTTTCAAATCTCTCCAGTTCTTTACATATGCCATAGATTTTAAAAATATTTCTCATTTCTTGCTGCAACTAATTCAATGATTTGAATATTGTAAGTATTGTTATTTAAAGATTTAATTAAGGTTTTGGCTATTAGGGGGGAAAAAACGGGTTTTGGGTTTCATCCATTCACATAGTTCACCATTAGTGCCACATTTTCTAGTAAATTAGAGTTTCCTCACACAGCATATATGACCAACACCACTTCACATTGTTTACGTGTTTTCTCTCTGTGCTTTTTATGTCAGTTTTTAAAGGCTCTGTAGGACAAGAAAAATACAGTGTTACACTATATCGGAAAACTCACTGTTTTTAAAACCGTGTTCAGAACAGCTATGATTACACTGCAGTGCCGTTTTCCTCTGATTTCATCTCACCATCTCAGCCTTTGCTGGCTTTTCTGTGAGGAGAGAAACAAAAGAAGGGTTACAATAGCCAGATTTTATTTCACCATCCTCAGTCTATTCAGAACTCAGAGGAGGCTTATAGTGAAAATGCATCGGCTACAACTCCATACAGTGATTCATGCCAACTCACAGTAAACGTAATCTGTGCCATTGTTCTCTTCATTCCTCCACAACCCAATCTCTGCGGGGACTTTTAAAGTTGTTGATTCTGGTGCTCAGGAAGAATCATTGTCAGGAGGCTTCTGTCAAACACGAGTGACTGAAAATACCTATAAATTCTGCAGCAGTGGACTTGGACAGGAATGTTTAAAGAGGCTTTCTAAAGAGTCAGAGGGGAGAATGTTCTGTAAAATCAAAGTTAAAAAGGTCTAATACTTAAAGAAAAATAAATTAAATATTGAGTTTGTGCTCTGTCGATGTTGAACACAGGTAGTTTGAACGTGTGAGCTCTGCTGGGAGATTACAGATTTGAAGTAATTACAGCTAAGGATACCAAGGTACTAATTGATTTCCTTTTCCGCAATGCTCTAACTTTGCATCACTTTTTGTCTGGCAATCATAATATCTACCGTATGTTTTAAAGGAGCAGTGTGCATGTGGCAATTCCATGAACACCGCGAGGAGCCACCAGTGTTACGGACTACCAATCAAAAGCCTGCGAAGGCTCTTATCGCTACTCGGTGGAAGTTTAGTTTGGAGGCTGCTGCTGCTGCACACAATATGTTAGCGACCAACGTTGTTACCAACCGTGTTTTCGGACGAGCTGAATCTATTAAACATCTTTCAGTTGAGTGTGATAATAAATCAAGCTAATCTCAAGAAATCTTTTTTTTTCTAGTTGTGTCTTTCCTGTGCTGCTGTAATAGAACATCTACTGTGGGCTGTCATTGTTAGTTCTAAGAGCGCATATGATAAGTATGCTGCTCTAGAGACGGGCTAATTGAACAATAAGTGTGGTAATCCCCTCGTGTGCGTAACCATACAAGCAATAAGCCAGCAAACACTGCCAACTAAATAAATGTCAGCAGAGATTTATAAATGTTCCTGATGTAAGCTCTCATGTTTTTCTCATTTATATGTTTTGATTTGATGGTGCCAGTTTTTGCCAATATTCCTGATGTAAGCCGAAATAAAAAGACCATAAAAAAATCAATAGTTCCTTACACAAACTATAAAAACTCTTCCGAAAGGAGCCTGAACTCCGGTTCTGTCCACTGTGGTTGGAACTATTCACAGCCCTTTGGCGAGTTGTTACCAGTTCTTGCAAGACCTTCCCTCTAAAGCCCCTTCTTTGATTTCTGTCCTTTAGTGAGCACCAGGTGGCCAGCTGAGACACTCTATTTAACATTTGCCCAAATACAGAAAACACCCACTACCTCAGGAGACACATGGAATAAAATGAATAAACAGACAGCAAAAAACACAGTTGAGTGGATTTTATCCTGATGAAAATGATATTGTGGCTACATGTGCACCTTTACTGGCTTTTTTCCTGTGCAGAAATAGAAGCCTGAGTGTATTGCGTCTGGCGGCGCTAATCTCGCTCCCTGCGATCTTCACAGGTATACTCTGTGACATTGGATGCTGTGTCCTCCATGCATCTAACAAATCAAAGGGCTGACTAAATTTGGAAAGATGAGTCACTAGAGACTTTATGTTGATCATGTCCTCTCAAAGTCCTTAATGAATTTCCCTTCCGGTACAATACTGTCACCGTGGTTGCACTGACCGCTCTCAACTGGAATAAAAAGGTTCTCTGCCGTCTCTGGTCACAAATAGATAAATGTTTTATACTGTTTAACACACTTTGATACTCAAATGTGACTGAATTATTGTTTTTTATTAATATTTCTGGTATGCAATCCATTCAAAACATTGAAAACACTACCAGGCTGAGCCAGGCTTAATTTGATGCAAAAAGGCTCTCTACACTTATGTTGCATCCGAACAAATACTTACTTCTCTAACCCATTCATAAAGGCATTTCAGCATTGTGTGGAAAAGGATTTTCACATCAAATTTATCTAAAAAGGATTTTTTTTTTCCTCAGTTTCGCGGCGATACATTTGGTAAACACACGTCTCGCTTGTTTTCTTCTCTGTTTATTGTTGTCTGTGCAAACACTTTTGCTCTGGCGGGTGGGTGAAGTTCCTGTTCCACTGGAGAGGAATAAATGCCTCTCTTCCTTTGCGGTTTATATATAGAAACTTTACACCTAAACTCACAGAATGAGGATTAACAAGGGAAGAAAAGTTTAGTGTCCATCGCCCCCTTAAAATCCACTAAACTGTCACTTTGAACTTCCCCTCAATAGGATGCATTGATGCCGCTGGACATCACGCTCGCTAATGTTTTACTGCAGAACTTAATTCAGAAAAAAAGTTTTCAAAAGTTTAACAAAAGATAAAAATGAGCAAAAACACTGTGGAGCCAGTCCAGTGAATAAAGTGGCCATGAAACTGAGACAATCTGGGAAGCATTGGTACAAATACACTGCGGGGCAGCTGATTGGACACAGGCGGATGCAATCAGGAGCAAGGAAGACAATCACACAATGGGGACACACACAAGGTCTGGAAATGAAGAGAGCACATGAACAAAGAACTAAACAAAAAAAAACAAGACCGTGACAGGGACGAACCGCGGAAAGACACGGCGCGACTGCTAGGACCCAATCACGTAGCCGTCGCAGGTGTCTGCGTCAGGTGGTCTGCATACTGTCCCTCTTCGGGGTGGTTAACGGCGTGCTCTTCTCTGTCTTTCTTTCAGGTGGCTGTGACAGGGGCACCCCCGGGGCAGGACCCATGAGGAGTCATAGAAGATGCTCACAGCCCGGGCGCTTCTGCTCTTCTTAGCCATGTGGGTGAGAAGCACCTGTGGTGGCCCGCTCTCCTTCAGAATAGGTAAATTTGAATGACAAAATCGCAATATCGTAGCAGTGGAAAAACTGTTGCAGATGCATGTAAGCCCAGGAGTTCTTATTTTTTTTTATTGTTCAGAGAGATTAGGTGTACTTCTTAGATATCCATAAACCATATGCATCAAAAGTATGTGAATTATTTTGAAATTTGAAAGTTTGTTACATGAATCATAAAAATATTAGTGTCAAGTGTAAATTTAATCAAAAATGTTTCCCCAGTTACACATAGCTGGAGGTACCAAGTAGCTAAAAACTGTATGTGTGGATATAACATGATCCTAATTCGTTCTGAAATACACTAGTCCCAGCATAGACAAAAAATGAATTTGTTCCACAGCATGTTATTAATAAAATATCGATTGCGATTGTCAGATGTGTCCAATTTCACTTAATCACACCAACTTGAATGGTGGTCAAAAGAAAGAATTGTGCGCTGCAGGCAATATAGAGAAAATTATCTTTCGTTTGGGTTTAATTTCACTAACTTCGTTATGCTCGGCCTGTGGGGAAAAGCTATAGCCATGGTGCCAAGCAAGCTTAAACTTCACCCCGAGGAAGGATCAACAAATTGAGAGACCGATAATCAAATTGCCAGCACTGTGGTGTATAACGCTACACAGTGTTTTATATCTGCTTTGGTTGTATGTGTGAAGCATAAGCATTAAATTTAAGAAATATACTGTGGCCATAGTCACCCATTGCACAAATATAATACAACTTTATTCCTTAAGTGTTTAATCGATATCAAGATATTTTCATGATTCATGTAACTATAATAACATCTTCTAGAACCAAGATGGTAAATGGGATGCTTTCCCCACTGTCTTAAACGTCAAAGACTATCCCAGAAGACATTTTCAAAGACACATAATAGAATATTTTGGATTGTTGAGCATCAACACTGGACCATTTTAAATTGTAAATAGTATGACTACTATAATGGATGGCAAAATCGCTGGCTTTTTACACCAACAGTTTCACAATAGAGCAAAGACAGAATTCACTGGGTTATTCTGCTTAAGGATATTGTGACAGATCGGTGGACCACGGTTGGATCCGACTACAGGTCGCAGTTGAGGGGAAATGGTTCAAAAGTCTCATAACCTGTCTGTTGGAAACCGATGGGAGTTGTTCCTTGTTAGTATTCTCACACAGTCAGCAGGTCGCTGACACCCCGTCACCGGCTTCCCGTCCACCAAAAGTTTGACACTTTTTTGTATTTATAAGTAGAGCTCTTGTCTTAAGTGTGTGTTCCAGGAACAGGCAGCTTAAAGGAGATTTTCTGCCGGCTAAAAAGGTGCAAGTTAACAGCGTTAAATCAATATAAAAAGACCCATGTGGTAACTCCAAGGCTATTTTTAACATCAACTAAAAAACTGGTGAAATTGTTGAAAATAAGTTTGCCTTTGTGCAAGCTAGTGTCCTCTCGAGTCCAGGGCATTAACGAAATGCTGTGCAGTGGACTCATTTCTGGAGGAATGTGTTGCCGTAATGATGAAAACATTATTTAGTTTAACTGGGTGACATTTCCAGCTCTACAGGCTCGTGACTGCATATTGGACCTTTTGTTCTTTACTTCTCCTATTCTCTGAGAAGAGGAGAAGTTATTATTAAGTTACTTATTAAGATAATCTTCAGTATGTGTATGGGTGTGCTGTGCTTCTGTGTGTGTGTGTGTGTGTGTGTGTGTGTGTTTTATGCACATGGCTTAGAAATGCAAAAGCACAGACACAGACTGACACACATTGTGAGGGTACACAAACAACCACATTCCCCCAAACACCACAACAAACACTGTGCCATTCGTGCTCCGGGAGATGGTATTTAACGTGGCTGTCCCTCAAGTCCTGCCTGCCTGCCTGGCGTAATGTCACTGTCTGGCCTTCTCTGAATGCATCGGGGCCAAAAACAACCTCCCGCCCCTGCCACACTCCCGCCAGGAGCACTCAGCAGCCAGCGGCCAGCTCACATGGAACTCATCTCTGTCTCTGCCGCGTTGTTAGCGGTCTAAAATGTGCGAATCAGTTGGCATGTATGGAATGTCTACTTGCCGGCCTGATTGAGGATGAAAAAATAAAAAGTTGCTCTTATTTCATTGTTCCCCTGATATGTTAACTTTCAGTGTTGTTGAAGAGTAATGATAGATTAGTAACAGCAGTATTGATCCAAGGTTGTCTAAATAATTCCTTCAGTACAGCCTCCAATAGGAAATACCATAAATACAAATGCAAGAGACGCTGACTTGCATTAAACAAAGAAGCTAAAGACATGAAATATATACGGTTAAATTGCTTTACACCATGACAGAAAATTCCGTTGAGAAGAGCCCTGATTAATTCAGACATGGGACTATATAATTACATTTAAACAAGTTAATATTTGGTTAGTATTGCATTAAAATCCGACGGAACTACCATGTGGTTGAGCTTTTTGCAGTGGGTGGTATTCCTCCATTAGTAAAGGGACAGAAATGGCCGCCATCTACTTTTACATAACCTAACAAGCGACTGTTTATGCTCACTTGGAGACATAATTTCTCCCACACACATCGCTGCTTCACGCTGGTGTATATTAAAGTGAGCAATCATCTCGGAAAATACTCAGGAGAACCACGTGGTCCTTCATTAGAACTATATTCATCAAAACTGTCAACCTTCCCTTACACCGCAGAGCCCTCACTCCATCAACCACTCCCGCACACACGCATTTACACACACTGGCTTGGTCCAGTTCGATATCAAAATATAAAAGACATTCATCTTATTCTTTAATCAAAGCCACCATTGATTATCATTGAGCATAAATGTGTGCATCGTTATAATACACAATTTACTTGGAATAAGCTGCGTAAGGGATGGGAAGGGAATCAAATAAAAAACAACAATTTCTCTGCCCCTGACATTTAATGAAAAATCACATTTCTTATTAATCGGTCCTTGAGGACACCACAGGAGCTAAGCTCTTGTGTTTGTTGGTTTTCCGTTTCCATATATTCATTAACTTTTTTAGCCTCTAAGATTCCCATGGGCATCTTTAACGGATACCTGAAAGTCATTAACTTTCTCTTTTTAATACAGAAACGCAATATTTGTATTTGGCAATCATCCCAAATAGCTTGCCACCTATGGTGAAATCATATTATGCCATTTTTGGCCTTTTAGAACCATAACCTTTTCCCAACTATTTGGATTAAAATTAATTATATTATATTTTGTGTGAGACCAGCCAGTTGTTGGATATATTCATGGACTCCAAATTTAAAAGCAAAGATTGTTGCAGAAAAAGCAACAAACAACTGACGTTTTTTGTTTTCATATGTAAATTTATGTAAAATAGGTTGGCATTTCCCTGTCGCCCTTTTGATAATATTCATCATTCAAAATCTGTAATACAAATGTCTAAAATACATTAATTTATTTCATACCATCATCATCATCAACTTTAACACCTGATTGGCACTTTGATAAAGACCTTCCCCCTCCAATGTAGACTGAACAATCATAGCGTAGAAAAATAATAAGCACCATATGCTGGAAATGCAATAATGATAACGCAGGCTCCATGATAGTTAATATATAGCTGCAGTGAGGGGCGGGGCTTAGCAAATGTTCAATAGAACAATTTTCAATGGGATCTAACTTAAAACGTCATATATATGTACATGTAGGGTCTGATAATCCTGCAATCCTGAATGCTGCTCTTCCGAAGGTTTGTTAAGTACAAAAGAGACACCTAGCTAAATACTGTACGTAATACAACAAAACTGCATACATTTGCTCTTTATCTTTAAGTGTTGCCCACATGGGACGTCCCAATACAAATGTGGTTTACCTACCAACCTAAATACCTACCACATACAGAAAAAAACGTTTTTGTTCTGTGATTTAGGTTTTTTGACCTTAAACTCAATTTGATGACTCAATGATTTTCACATTTAATACATTACAATCAACACGAGTGAGAGTAGCGGTTGTGGTTTTAAAGCACAATGGCTTTAAAGTCAAACAGACCCCATGCTCATCAACTAGAGTAGTTCTTTCTTTTTCCTTGCTTCATAACGGGCACTCTGCTCCGGTCAACGGATACCGGCCTGCTGTGTGCATGTGTGTACATGGATGGTCTTTCATGTGTGTTCAGTCACCAAAGGGCATGCAGTGTGGATCGGTGAAATTAAAGCCCACCGGTGGACTCTAATTGTGTAATTAGCCCTTCCGAGGCAAAAGCGACAAGGCGGCAGTAGCACACCGTTAATATCCCTCAGTTCAACCCCACGCACACACTCACAGTGACTTACTAAGGCCGGCTGCCAGAACCACCATGGCTTACTCACTGTGCCTCCAGTCAGGGTTGTTTTTCCTTGACTCACTCTTGACTTCAGTTGACATCTATGAACTAATTCAACTCACTGTCACTCGATACAAAGGGAAGATGCAGTGTTGAAAAGGAAGGAGAGTAAAGTCCTCGAATGGAAGTTATATGCGTTGTTTTGAATTCAACCTTAGTTCCCCTAAATTGACAGAACAGAGGCTAAAGCAGAGACTTATGTCCAGTTGAGGAATCACCCTTATCTCCTTGCTTGTATCTACCCAACCATGTGTTGTGCAAGTCAAGCTACAGGCCACATAGGTGACCACCTGTTGCGTGAGCCGACCAAGTTTCACCAAAAAGAAACCAACAAACGTCATAAGGAATTACCAGAAATAAAAGGGAGCTTAATTAAATAACAGCGTGTGAGCCTGGAGGCAACAATGTCTTTTGTTCCTGGGTGTGTTTCCTCAGTAGTCAGGCACCCAATTTCAATGGTTGCTAAGGACTTTAAGGGATGAAATTGTATGTTTTGAGTCAGATGGAGCTGTACATGCAGAGACAAATTTATACCTCAGGTGTCGTCTGAAAGGGGAGGAGTTCATGATTCATCTCTGAGGTTTTAATTACCAGGGGAGGTGCTGGGACCAATCGTTTAGTTAATGACAGAAATGGCGG